TCTCTCTCTCTCTCTCTCTCTCTCTCTCTCTCTGTCTAGACACGTGTAACCCCTCCTCCTCTCTCTCTCTCTCTCCCGGCAGCTGCACTTTGCGTTTCAAGACGACCGCTACCTGTACATGATCATGGACTACATGCCCGGCGGAGACCTCGTTAACCTGATGAGCAATTACGACGTGCCGGAGAAGTGGGCCAAGTTCTACTGCGCCGAGGTCGTACTGGCGCTCACCGCCATCCACGCGATGGGCTACGTGCACAGGTGCGTAGTGCGCGCTGTCTCCCGTAGGGGGCGCTCACCGCCATCCACGCGATGGGCTACGTGCACAGGTGCATAGTGCGCGCTGTCTCCCGTAGGGGGCGCTACACCGCCATCCACGCGATGGGCTACGTGCACAGGTGCGTAGTGCGCGCTGTCTCCCGTAGGGGGCGCTACAACGCCATCCAAGCGATGGGCTACGTGCACAGGTGCGTAGTGCGCGCTGTCTCCCGTAGGGGGCGCTACAANGGATGGCATGGTAGGGTTGTGTCTATGTGTTGGGGGAGGGGCGTGCATCTACATTAGGTACATTACCTAACCCCGTGCCTTGCTGCTGTCCTGCGGGGTGTTTACACTGCTTACTGTGCCCGCCCTGCGCAGGATGGCATGGTAGGGTTGTGTCTATGTGTTGGGGGAGGGGCGTGCATCTACATTATGTACATTACCTAACCCCGTGTGTTGCTGCTGTCATGCGGAGTGTTTACACTGCTTACTGTGCCCGCCCTGCTGCAGGATGGCATGGTAGGGTTGGGTCTATGTATTTATGTGTATGTTTGTGTCACTGTATTTACGCTGCTTGCTATCCTTGTCCCTGCACAGGATGGCATGGTGCGGTCTGACACTGCGGTGGGGACGCCCGACTACATATCTCCCGAGGTGCTGAAGTCGCAGGGTGGCGATGGCTACTACGGGAGAGAGTGCGACTGGTGGAGCGTCGGTGTCTTCCTCTACGAGATGCTAGTCGGTAAGACACAGTGGTTGTGTGTGGGGGTGGGAGTGTGTGTGTGTGTGTGTGTGTGCGTGCGTGCGTGCGTGCGTGCGTGCGTGCGTGCGTGCGTGCGTGCGTG